GGAAACACGGCAAGGGTCATTTGGCCAAAAATGGCCAGTTGCACCGACAGCTTTTACAGTGTCATGTACCACCCCAACTGGAACAGCAATCTACCAAGTTACTCAAGAAAGGACTTCCAGGAGGAGAGGGTGCCCACCAGTCGCTCCTCCTTTGTTGTTGAACACCTAACTCCACTAACAACGTACATCGTCTGCGTGACCTGCCAGTCCGCCAACCCCTCCAGTGACCAGTGCAGAGTTTTTAACACGCCAGAACAGGACCCAGCATCCAAAAGCAACACCAAGAAAGAGCTGGCACTGGGCATCTGGCTCACCAGCAGTGTACTGCTCCTCATCATCGCCGCAATCCTCCTCTACGGCTGCCTGCACCTCTACTGCCGCAAGAGACGCGAGCGCTTGCAAGGGCGAAACGAGACCTCCGAGCAAGACCACGGGAAGACATGGACCAAACGTGCAGTGTACGCCTTGGAGGAGCTCGGCAGGCAGAGCCAGATGGTACAGGACACTGAGGAAAAGCACCCAGGCAGCATCCAGCTGGCCACAATCATAGAGAATCCCTCAGCATGCAAGGAGCCTGTCATGCCGCCTTCCAAAAGCTGGCAACAAGCGCCAACAACAGGACAGATCTAAATCAGAAACCTTTTAGTGGGGGGGGAGGTTTTTTGCTACGTAGGATATCCCAACTTCTTCAAATGCATTGCATGCATTGTCAGCACTCACACCCAGGAGCTCTCACTGCAGCTCTCCTGCTGTACCTCTGGTGCCATGTCACTTCCCAATAGAGGTAGTTGGAGACCAAGGTTCAGATGCCCAAGAAGTGAGCACTTCAGCCAGACTCCATAGTTTAAAAATGAGGCATGTAGCAAATGATCAGTTTACATTTTGAGGGGATTTTTTGATTGCTTTTCTTTAATCTAAAATGGCAACCAAATATAAAAATTAATCAAAAGCAACAATATTAGAAAAAAAAAAAAAATACTGAGTATAAGTTTTCAGATGACAACTCCGAGTGCTGGACTACAGGCAGCTGGAACATACACTCCAGGTGTGTGTTTGCCAGTGTGAGTTTTACCCCCACAACCCCAGCTGCTTCTCAAACCACACACTATGAAGTACTACCCTATGCACTTGGCTGACCATGGTGCTCTCCACAGCTTGCACCTGAATGCGGTTGGTCCCGGTGCTTTAAACTCCCCAGGATTTTAATGGTATGATCTCGACATCCTGCCTTTGAAATTTCCCCTCGGTCTAAAAACATAAGCAAGACAGTGTCTCTGTAAGGACGCTTCTAATGAAACAAAGGAAATATCCTGGGCTGTCATATATTGGACTCTCCTGCACCCATCAGAAGCCATCTTCAGCTCCATGGGGAAGTGACTCCCTGTAGAAGAAAGAATTCAGAGAAGCAACTCCTGACCTTTCCTTCTTCCTCTCAGTTCTAATAATAAAACTCATTCACCAACTGCAAATTTCTACCCATCCACAGAGTACGTTCTGTGTAACCAAAGGGCAAGGAAGTGAAAATGTGCCAAAACACATTTTATTTTTGCAACAATCAAATCTGCTGATTATCTCACTCTGCCTTGAACTTCATGGCAAAGTGCCAAGAAAGGCCCTTCGGACAGAAATCTTTTCACCCTCACAACACAACACATCTCATCTGGGTTATATGTGTAAGCCACTCCATTTTAAATCTCTCAAGTTCATTTGTGTTCCATAATAAAAAATAATAAATCTTAGGATTGCTGTACAATACGGTATTTCTAAAAAAACAAAGATACACTGTGACTGCAGGCATTTTAAACTGCTCTTGCTATGACTGTACCCATCACGTCAGCTCTTGTTGTATCAGTAAAGGCTGGAGAGCTGCCGTCTGGGCAGCTGCCATCCCTTCCCACCACGCCCTGGAAGCTGAGGTGCTGTACCACTTTGGCAAGAGAGCACCCACCCAACATTTCACAGCAGGTAGCGGGGCTTTTCAGCTACTGTATTTTGACAACATTTCCCACAACCTGTGAAAGACGTCAGCTCACTTATGGCTGGGAAGACGTGCTGGCACAGGTTTGACACGTTGTCTTTACTTTTTTTCTACTAGGATAGCTATGACACACAGAAACATGTGCTGAACAGGGGTATTACTTTCAGAAAACATTTCAAACGACATCTTTATTGTGTGAAGTTAGAAATAATGTGTTTTCCATCCTCTACATAGCATTTCCTCCAGCTGACTTGTGTTTTTCTTTGTCTCTTAAATAAACTGTGAAGATGGCAACGGTTCACTGCTGTTTGGAATGAAGGTGTTTCACGAAACAGACACGAAGAAGCTCTCTTCAGAGCATGAAGCCAACACTACAGCTTTATTGCCAGAAAGGGGCAGCTGGGGAAATAAAATGTTTTAAAATTATCTTGTAATCAAATTAAAGGTGACACTTCTTTGACTAGGATTTCACCAAAGAAAAAGAATATTTTAATGTTAAACGTATGGAGCCAAGAGACACCATCTCATCTCTGCCAACATGTTTGCCCTTGAAAACCTGCTTACTTCTCTGCATCTCTTTTAGATGTGGGTTTTAAGGCAGTCCAAATACATATATTTACATGCGTTTATGTGTTATACACACATATATACACCATACTGAGAACAAGAAACAGTTCAGTTGAAAGCAGTTTTGAGGCAATTCACCTACTGAATTTATGCTATTTATACAAAAACACATATATACAAAAAGGCACATAGATGTATCAGATTGAGAAGGCAAAGAGCTACCACGGAAGTGCTCCTAGGAATGGGATTCACTTCATCTAAATAAAAAACCACTCCACCCAAGGAGTTTGCTGTGCACTACTTAGATAAACATTGACATCACCTCACAAGCAACAGACCATCTTGCCCCACAGGAACAATTCATAGTGTGTCCTCTAACTTCTGCACTAGTTTTGAAGAACTCCTGCCATCACACACTCATAATGCTACACGATTCTTTGTCTCTTGATCAGAAAGTTTTATTACACATTCACTCAGGTTCTTTCTGGCAAATTCTGTTTGTTGGAAGTTCAGTGTCCAGTTTTAACAGTGATTTAGTAAGGGGAAAAACAACATTATAAGAGATTATTTACTATTATAGGCATATCTAATTATGAAACTTGCTCCAGAAATGTTTCTAAGAAGCCCCTCTATCGCTCCTTCTCTTACAGAAAAATAACCACATTTCTGAAAATGTGTAACTCTGAGAGTATACCTTCCTAAACTCATTTTAATGATGTAAACTGACTGATAAAAAAGCATTCCCCAGTTAATCCTCTGTCACTCACCCTACTGTATCATCACTTAGGTAAATTAAGTTAGCAATCTCTACTAAATTCAGTGGGGGTTTTGCTCTTTACACTGCATCTGGTGAATTCCTAAAATAGTAAGGAACACAATAACTCTAATGTAAGAAAATCCCACTTTTTTATAATCTACCTTTCACTGTTGAATAACAATTATATAAAACACTATTCACAGCACCACACAATCAGCTGTTGCATTCCACATTAAAGACATCTGAATCCTTTTCTACCTCCTTCACATTTTATGAGTATGGACGTTTTACAAATGCAGCAGATATTTATAACTTCTGAGCTACCTCTTCAGCTCCCAAAACCAAGCTTGCTGGGCAAATCACTTTACAGATACCACACCATGTAACTAAGATAGTATGAGCAGAAACTAACAGTAAGACAAGGACTAATTATGCTCATGTTTAAGTAGGAGCTAGTTAATGAAATCAGCTAAACGTGAAAATGACACAGTGCAGTTGTATTAATTACAATGATAACTGAGTACATAATTTTGTAACTTTTTTTAGTCAACAATCATAATTCTATTTTTATTTATTTTTATTTATCTTTTCCATACTTTGATTTTGCACCCCTGACACGCAAGAAAACAACGCATAATTAAGAGTGACATCTTGTTAAATATTCTCAAATGATTTGCTGAAGATACCACACTGTTGCTTTTTACCACTGTTGGATGTAAATCAATATTTCTGACTACTAAAAATGCAGATACATATATTAATGTACTATGCCTTCAACTGTCATTAAGGATCCAGTAATTATTCTGAAGTGTACCTAAAATAAACCTGCAATGATCACAGAGAACAGACCCTCTAACATCCAATACTGCACACCTGAGCATAGCATTGGTCCTGTGAATAGAGGCTAACCTTCCTCACTCCACAACTATTCTCTTGTGGCAAGTACTCTCTCTAATTGCCACCCATGTAAGCTCCTTTCCAACCTCAGTACTGTGCCTTAAGGCGCAGAGTACATGACTGCATGTCATGTGCACTTCTATTGAAAGCTTGCACAAACCTTCTATGCAGTCCTAATCTGCAAAGCAGGAAAGATGATGTTAATACAGTAGATGAGATGGCCAGAAGGCCAAGATCATCAGATCAACTTTGAGGTCCTCAGGTTGAAGATGCCAAAGAAATGCTACCTTTTTTTTTTTTTTTTAAATAATTTAAGCAGTTTGGTATCTGAGAGCTTAGGATGGTCAGAATCTATATTCCTTTAAAGTCAAATAGCACCTGAACTAGTTTTTTCTATCTGGTCCCTTTTCTCCTGCCATCACAGTATTCATCACCGTAACAAGGGAGCAGCTGCACCCAAGATGGGCTCTTCTTCTCACTTCACCAGATGACTAATCAATCTTTTATTTGAGTCTGCTCTGCCACTATAAGCAACTGTGCAATGCAAGTTGGTTGAGAGAAGGACTTATTTTTAGCTATGTCAGATAAGACTAATCATCAGACTGATCACTTGCACTTTGGCTGAAACATATGGTGAGCTTCACCACAGTCTGAAAAAAAAAAAGTATGTTGAACTTAAATGAACACAAAATGTATTTGAGTCAATTTTTCATATCTTTCAGATTCCATAATTATTTCTGTAAGTAAAAAGATACCTTTAAACATCAGCAAACCATAAAAATAAAGGGAGTTAAATCTGACCTTTGATCCATAGAGATACTGCGGTTGTGCATTAGGCTGCTTATCTCTCTGAAACTCCTGAGAAAATGGAAGCACAGTCCGAACAAACCTATAAAAACAAAATAAATAATTCATTAATTATACTTACATTAATAGATGTGCACCTAATGCACCTTACTCTGTATAATACTGCTTTTGCCCACATATATAAAATCAAAGCTGGTAGCGTTTCAGTCCAAGTTGAAACTGGGGACACACATAAGCCTGCATTGCCCAAAAGCCTCGACACAAATCATACTGCAGTTCTCCATCACTTACCAGAACCCTTTTCTTCCAGTGGTGTGCAGGGTCCCAAAATATTTCTCACCACTACTCTTGCCCAGCCCAGCAAAAAAAGAGAAGCAACTAGCAAAGTAGCAATAGACTCTCATGGAAAGCAAGAAAGTTCCTTGTGCCTCCAAAATTATGTCCTTCAAACTGAGGGCCCTAGAGGTTGAAGAATGGTGCTTGGGCAGGGCTCTGCAGGCATAGTCCTCACACGAACAAGCAGCACAGACTTACTCCCTAATGTTGTCTGTTAACTGTGCAAGGCACATTTTGCAGCCCTACAGTTTTAGTGCAGAAAGAATTTAATCAATGTCTACTACAATTGTGATTCTGCTCACGTTTACTGAACTGTGCAAAATTATTGGTTGTTGTGTTTATGGGTTGGATGGCTACTTTATTTTTTAAATTGACATAAAGGATTTCCTGGTAAATTGTGCAAAGCTCTATAGACATAAGGAAGAGGAAAAACATCTATTTAAGAAGTGTACATCAAATGTTTTTATCAGATCAGGCTTTTCTGAGCCATAGCTGAGTAAAATAAATGCATCTAGGAAAAGTTTTCAGGAAATCAAGTTTGCAGTACATTATAATGTCCTAAGGTACAAGAGTATCTTCACCTCTTTGTGCTTAAAGTACATCAGAATTTAATCAACATACAAAATAAATTATTCATTAATAATTTTTCCTAGAAAGAACATAGAAATTTAATTCTTAATACATCCATTTTCTAGCTAAAAACAAAAACAACCATGCTGATAAAAAATTGTTTCACCCAAACCTGTATAAATTGAATCATGTTACTTAGAACTATTTCTACTGTGTTTTATTTCTGAGTGATCGGAATCATTCTTGTGTGAATCTACAGCTTCAGAACAAGGTTTTCCATATTTTTCAACCTGTTCAAAAATAGCTACACCCACCATTTCAGCTACTTATTCATGTGTATTTTAGCCCTGTTTTACCAAAAGTACTTGTACTTGCTCAAGTTCAGAATGTGCTTTCATTTATAGCTTTTGAGGGGAAAAAAAAGAATCGGTGTATTATTTTTTATACTATATATATAAAATTTAAATCTCCTTACATTTACATCTCCCCAGCTTACAAGTTTCCCCCTTCTCACTTGCACAGCAACTGAAAACCTCCCTCTTGAGATTACTTGAATCTATTCTCTGCACAGATACTTCATTCATGATTTTACCAGAGAAGTTGTAAACATTTGATGGAATTCAAAGTAATCTGCAACATATGACAGCCTCAGAGATTACACTATTCCCCCTTCTTTCTCCCCAAATACTATTCCTTTTTAAACTGACATCGATTTTCAAGCCTTAAGAAAATCTTTACAATGAAAGAAATACCATATCATTTGAGGTAAGACTAGGTTTCAATGTGCAGACATATTGGGCAAGAGCTGATTATTTTTAAATTTAAACTCTCACAAGGAGAAGAGTGTTTCAGAATATGAATGTGGGTGCGCCCCATGAGTTGGGAAGCTGTAACTATGACTTTATTTTTTAAAAGTCGTCGTATTATTAATATATTTGAACTACAGTGTCTTTAGTGTCTGGGAGAGTCAGACTGTATTTGGATTGAGAAGAAATCACTGACTCAGAAATCAAATACCAAAGAAATACTTCTGAGAAACAGTCTTTAAGTTTCATTAGCTCTGTAAAAACACAAATAACTCTTGTATGTTCCCCAGTGCTTCTCTACATCCTTGGGAGTTTCTCCATCTCTAATGTTTTAGAATAGTAGCAAAATAAGCTTAAAGGTTTCTTAAAGAGCAAGCAAGCACCTGTTTTGTATTTTCTTGAGGGAGTTGGGGAAAAGATAATAAGAAAGGAAAAAAGAGATTAAGAAAAGGAAGTGGGGACAAGAGACAGTTGGTAGCTTATGGTGGTGCTATGGCTAAGTAAAGAGGGTCCAACAGGGAAGAGACACTGCATTGTTCCAGCTTTGTGACTAATCCCAGCATATCATTCAGATAAATACTACACATTCCTTCTCTCAAAACTAAGGGCTATACAGAAGCCTTTATTAGCATCTCTTTTTTGAAGCTGCAAGAAGATAAAGTATTAATAACACGTTACATTAGATCTTATCTTGACAATATGTCATTAAATATGTCAAGAGCTAAATATAAATCTGCAATATTTTAGTCCATTATTTTCCTGCCAAAATAATCTATATGAATTCTATACAGTACCTGAGCCCAGACATAACAATAACTACAGTGTAGTTTTATTCAGTTTGACAATTCCAGTTTTGGACCTTTTCATCTAGGATTTTTGGTGATGTATATTTAAAGGAGATGCTCTCATGCACATGGTGTGATTCTTGGGGTGCCCTACACAGGGACAGAAATTGGACTCAATGATCCTGATGGGTCCCTTCCTACTCAGCATATTCTATGATTCTATAATCTGCTATTCAAACTTTTTCAATATTTGTGTGTGTCTCTTCTTTTTGACATTCTGCTGCTTGGTTTGCTCCTCCTCCTCCATGAAATAGAATCATCTCTTTGAAGGACTGAAGCACTTTGAATATCAATGCTAAAAACTAGGCAGATTTTTGCTTTCCCTCAGATAATGCTGGATGCAGGTTTTGGCATACTCCAAAATAATCAGTTCTTTCCATTTTTAATCAGTGTTGATGATCTCACTGCAATGTAACCATTTTAATCAACACAGGTTGCAAGCAGACAAAGTAGATTAAGTAGATGAAAAGCCTAGTAGTTTCCCAAAGCTTTGCAACACTGATTGCTAAAGGACAACGTGAGCCTCCACGTAAGTATTTTAGGGATCAAATAATTTTATACTGGTGTTTCCATGATACCTACCAGGAAGGACTACATAGTGAGCACTTTACAAACAAACCTAAATGATTCTGTATTTCTAATTACCATAATCTATTTAAGAAAATATGGAGAAATCTGCAAGAGACCACTTCAGTCAATGAGTCCACTTCCTTGCTATTACAGGCACTAACTCAGACTGACAATCGCATTCATAAACTTCCTGAGCTTCATCTCAGGAGTAAGATCACAGTCTTCCATCTCGGCTCCTACAGAAAGTGTCCCTCTGCACCTCTCTGTCTAATTGGTATAAACACTTCCACAGCCTTCTCAAACTAGCTTGTTCTGTCTACCAGATCAAAGGGTAGCTCCACACCTCTCAGAGAATGCTTGATCTAACTCGCCCTCCTTGAACATGAATGTCAAGATAGGGAGAACCGAAGGCTACACATGTGTGAGGAAATAGCAGACAAAACAGACGATGAAAGAGTAACAGGTATCTGCCACTCCACTGCTATCACATTTCTATTAGGCAGAAAGATTATTTTTTTTAATTATTATTATTTTGTAGGTGGGGAAAGATAAGGTTCTTGTTGTCAAATTTGATGAGTATTTGACTACGGTCACCCCTACTTTGCATCAGGCTTTATAACTGCACCATTTGGCTCTTTGTAGCAGAAACTAAGTAGTTTTCACTGCCAGTGATGCTTTTCAGGTTTGTTCCAGCAATGCCTGATAGTGCTGGAAATTTTTCTGAAGAGCAACTATCACAGAGGATATGCAAGACAAGAAGACACAGCTGTTCTCTTGTGAAAACTAGTCTTAAAAGCAGCACAAGGCAGACAGAGAAATCAATAAAGGAAGAGAGAGGCAGGCAGGAAGATCAAAAAATAAAAAGTCAGTCTTTTTGCTCATTCTGTGATAAATCTGTATCTTCAGAAGAAAAAATGTCATCCTGCATTTGGAAGAGTGCTATACAAGTGAATTTTTAGCAGAGAATACAGATTTGGATAATGAGAGGAAATGGAGTCTGACTGCTGTCTTAGGAAGCTCAAATAATTTCTGTCAAGAAAGCACAGAAAATCATCAATCCAAAGAAATGGCTAGGCCGTCTCACACTTGCTCTTCTGTTAGCCCTGAAAACAAAACATACTATCATGAAAGGAAAAAATCAGCTTAGAATTAGTGAAGGAAATAAGGCAGAAAAAAGGAATGCTACAGATGGTGGAAAAGGAACAAAGAACAAAAATCTGGAAGTTGTCCTTGGACAGCCTAGTCCTGTGAACTTCAGAAAGATACAGAGGAATGAAAAAAGCACAGATGTGGACATAAACATGAAAGTTTCCTGGTGTGGAAACACCTTTGGCTTAGAAAAACATGCAACTGAGGACCAACATGAGAGAGGGCTCTTAAAATAATTCCCAAGCAGCACAGAAAAAAAAAACAGCTGGGCAATGGCTGCTCACAGTTACTTTCAGTGTAAGAACTGGCAGGCAACAGCTTGAGAGCAACATAAGAGATACCTTTTCATGCAGCACACAGCTTCACTGCAGACTCCTTACTACAGCACATCATGAATGCCAAAACCTCACATAGCTTTAAAAAAAGAACTGGACAAAGCAATGGGGAAATTTTTTTAAAAGCCTGTAAATAGGCAAAAATGCACTAGCATTTTTGTTTCACAGAAACACCTGATTGTTCCTAGAGGCTGGCACGTTTCCTGAGTGAAAAATCACCTCCCTTGTTTTCAAACTTGCATGGCCTCTGCATGGCTGTTGCTGGCTTCAGCACATTGACCTTTGAGCTCACAGTTCATATGCTCATGCTATTATCCAAAAGTCTGTTCTCTTTCTTTGCTGATCAGTAAGAGGTGGATTAAAAACACCCTTTGACTTCATTGCTAGCTGCCCACCTGCAGAAGTCCCCTTGCTCATCTCCCCATTCCTTCTGCACAAACTGTTGTGCATTCTGGACATGGCTGCACAGCTGGTCAGCACTAATAAGACTAATTTCAGAAAACTGGCAACTGTAATTATTAAATTGACATATCTTTTAATAGCAGCCTCGCTATTTAATCTCAGTACATTATCAGATATAAAAAAAATTCTTAAGTCCCAAATAATTAAACATGCAACATGTTTCAGTACTTCAGCCTTAGTCTTTGAATAAAACCTGCTCAGTTTCTAAACAGGTTTTTACAAATGTTTGACATCATCACATTCAGACATTCTTGGGAAAAGAGCTTCAAAAGGTACTGGATACAAGTTAATCTGGCCAAAACTCTGACTTTAAAAGAAGGACCTTTACACCTACCTAGGCTTCAGCCAAACTAATGAATGGCAAGTTCCAAGTTTTATACATTTCCTGGGAGCTGGACCTCCAATATCCTCACCACCAAGGAACCTCTCTGCTTTTCCTTAATTTCTCTTCCTTCCAGTCTTTCATTTTTACTTCTCTTCCCTTGTTTAGATAGAGTTTTCGTGCAAGACATTACCTATCAACAGTCAGGAATTAAACTAGCAGTTCTCACAGAGCCCCTCACTGTGTACTCCTGTATTTGCACACAATAACCTTTACAGCTGAATATAGAGAGCTCATTGATTTAAAGTTCATACTAACAGCAAGGCACAAATAGACATAATGAATGTGTTCAAAAACTATAAAAGGGCTAGAAAGGGCTGTATCTTCTCCCAGCAAAAGTATTCACAGGCCCTATATAGTGAGTCCAACACACAGGTTAATTCTGTCCACATTGCTTTTTTTGACTGAAACCAGAGCAATTTTGTGGAGAAACTGGACAAATGGTACACGTTACTCAAGACCTGGTTCCTTTTATCATGTCTTAAACTAATTGATTAATTACCTGACAAGCTTAAGGATCAACCTAACTCAATTCCTGCTTACAGTTTTCAAACCATCAAGCAGCAGAATCCTGCTAGTGTCCTTTGGCATTCCATGCTCACTTCCCAAGCACTGTGGTCTGCAGTACAGCAGTCCTTGGAGTCAGGACAAACACAGACTGAATTGCTACAGGAGCTACTGAGTGTCTTTCATTATAGCTGACAGGTGAAAGATCAGCAATCCATCAAGATTTTCTTGTAATATAATACTTATGTGATTCTTAATACGTCACACTGAATACTCCAATATTGATCTACAGATATATCAATCACACAGTAGCTTCCTTGGAAATACATTCAACTCTCCTATGTAGACAGATTCATCTAACAGAAGTTTCTTAGCTAAAACATAGTCACAAAAAACCACTCTTTTTTCTAGAGACAGAATCTTGGATCTAAACGCAACATAACCATCATGGAACATGTCAGACAGTGAAAGCTCTCCAAGGAGACAGTGAAAGATGAGAACAGCCTTCTTCCTCTTCCTACAGCTCAATATTCAGTATCACTTTACTGTCAATTCATAGTGCTTAAACAAAAATCTGAGTAAAGGCTGAAAGCAACACAAATCCTAAAGACAGCACACGAGCAGGAAGCCCAGAAACGCAAAGTCCCAAGCACTGCACCTTCCACTCATTAAAACTTCAGATTCTACATTCCTCTTTCTATTTCCATTACTCACTCTCCTTAAAGGCTGCAAATGTAGTTCAGAACACTGAACTCTTCCCTTCTCCAGTAAACAATGCTTTTCTTCACATTAACACAGAATCAGGAACATCATTCTTTTTTCCATCGTCTCACAGCTGACAACCCTGTTTGCCAAAATATCTTCCTGATACGCACTTTGGGGTATTTTTGGACACGCTTTATTTTTCAGCATATTGTAGCTAAGTCATTAAAATGTCAGAATTTGGATGCTGTGGTTACATTTGACTTCTATTGTGGACAAATAACAGGCTTTCATACATTTGACAGTACTTAGCAAAATGACTCATGCAGCTTCATTTCAAGTAAAGCCTAAGAAGTGGAAAACACACTGAATGAACAGAGATGGACTTGTCAGCATTTGCTAGGAAAGACGTTGCAGGAGGGTAGTAGAAGAACTGCTGCAAACAAAAGGCTGCCATGCTAACCTGTTAGTGGATCCATTGTAGCAGTAGTTTGGAAGGAAATCGTAATTGAGTTCCCAAAAGACATGAAGAGTGATTCTTCCGTAAGGGGCTGACACATTGTGATTGGCCTCTCTGAACATGGCATCAAAGCTGTCCAAGGTCATATACCTACTCAGAAGCTTGTGAGTCAATTTGTTTATCTCTATCAAGCCATCTAGCTCCTACAAAAAAACAAGAAATAAAGTGAGGAGTGCATTTAATAGAGAACTCAATAAAGTACATAAATAACCTTGACTGAATAGAAGACCAGAAAGAAGTAAAAATTAATAGCTGACTCTCTGCTAGTCTCTTACTTTAATGAGCTGGAAAGGCTCAGTGATCTTGGGATTGTTTTGTAACTATCTCCCACCAAAAACTGCTGAAACTTGAAGAGTATTCATTAAAATCAGTCCACACTGCAGATGGATCCCAAAACCAGATTTGTGCCAAGTCTTCTTCCACTGAGCAAAAGTTATAACTCCAACACGTAAGTGCAATGAGACATAGGCCAAGAAGCACCTTCTCCATTTCCTACTTGACAAGCTATCACAAAGTAATTTCTGCTCAGCAGGGCTCTGGTAAAATAACTTTTGTAGTAGTACTAGTAGTGATAACGTCACATTTTCCATAAATCCTTCTAATAGTTTACTCCAGTAAAGAATGCACTAAGATGCAATGAAAGACCAGACATTTACAAATGTTGTGAAGGTATGCATGGAATTACTAGCTCCAGATGACACAACTACACACGAGCACTGCCTTTCATAATATTTCTCCTCTTGACAAGAAATACCTGATATGGTTTCTGGCACTTTCAATAAAATAACATTAAAAAAGATAAAATACATCCATCTCTGACATCAGACACTGAAAACACCAAACACAAAGAACATAACCTCTCACTTCAAAAAAAACCAAGCGTTGCTTTTAAAGATCATTGCGCAATGACCCAGGGAAGGAATATCCTGGCTTTGTTTGGCCATGCATCAAACTTTTGGTCATCTTCCCACACAGTGCTGTCAGATTTAATTGCTCCATGTTTCAAAGCATTTTTCAAACCTGTGAATAACAGTTACTTTAAGGAAAACTAACCACTATGATTATTATTTCAGCATTGAGTCCCATCTGTGGGAGAAAAAAAATTGCTCAGTCTTTTAAATACTTTCATTTAGTTAATTTAGCTTGGAAAACAGCAGAAATTTCTGATTAGTTAAGCTACTAGTTTCAGTTTCTCACTGAGGAAACCAAACAGTTTTCAGCAGAAATTATTTTGCATTACACAAAAGAAAAAGATAAAAAAGGGGCAGGGGGAGGCAGGAGCATGGTGGAGGGACAACATCTTAGCCCTGCCACTGAAGGAAGAGTGAGAACCTGTGACCTAAGAAACACACCATCAACAGTTTCTCTTAACCAGTGTAATTTCTGACGTAGCTGGAGGTGACTAAAAGAGTGCCTTTTGCAAGACTAAGGTGCTTTTCTGGCAAGAGTAAATCAGACAAACTTCAACCATAGCATTGTATTATTTCATACTTACAGAAGAATTAAAACAGAATATCAGAGGAAAAAGTTTTGTTTTTTTTTTTAATAAGACTGCTTAAATTATTTTCCACTTACTGAACTAAGATTTAGGATAAAATAAGCTTTCCTGTTAGTCATTCAGCCTCTTCTCATTTCAGGAGTGACTGTACAGCTATTTGCTGAGAAAATACTTAGAGGACCCTAGCAAAGCTTCCATCATTAAAAAAACCCAAACAGCTGTATAAGGAAAAAAAAAAGGCTAGATATCTATAATTCCCAATGGGAAAAAAAAAATTAAATTAGTTCAAATTAAAATAAATTAAACCAAACCAAAACTAGACCCTAGACCCTAGCTGCAGTGTTGGTGGTCTAGCCAAACTGCAACCCAACACAACACTCACCACAATGGAAGTCAAATCCTCACTTTCAAATCGACCAATTGCCAATTCCATTGACCGGTACATGGCGGCTGAAATCCGCTGAGTGATCAGTCGGTTCAGATCTATTGACCTACCAAGGAGCTAAAGAAAAAAAATGCCATCAAGTTTTGAACTGGAAGTCAAACTGCGAGACGAGCTGCACAAGGACTATGAGAGCCCACAGATAAACTGACTTTCACATCATGAACACACAGAAGCAAAGCAGACAGACAAAATAATAAAATTCATTAACAAATATAGTACAGCAATTTACACCCCAATTCTCACAAAAAGAAGTAAAATGACACATTGCATTTACATCTAAGCATTTAAATCAGCATTTTATGCTTCCATGACACTGTGACGACAACATACTGAAAACTGGCAAAGTACATTTCTAGGAAGACAATGTTACTAGGAAGACAACTCTACAACATATGACATTCCTACTTGGCTTGTGTTTGCTTAACTGCAACAGACATTTCCATTCAAACATGACCTTTTAAGGTTTTTTTCTTTAATTTACTCCTTCATATCACAAAAAAGCTGATCTGAAATGTCAGTTACGCCACTTCGATGACAGAATAAAAAGCCTGGAAAGAGTTTCATTTACCTACATAAATCAACACCACTGGGAAACCTCCAAGCAACTGGAATACAACAGAGTGGGAGCTAACTCACTTGGACATGTCTCTGTTTCAGCAGAGTCTCGTAGCGGTTGGACGGCAGCAACTGGATGGTGGCTCCCTGATTCTTGCATTCCGAACGTAACCGTTTATCCAGAAGCAGGCTGTTGAGAAAGGAAGAAAATGCTTAACATATATTAGGCAGCAAAGCAGAGCAGAAATGCATGAGTAGAAGTTCCCACTACTGGAACAGCACTACCTGCCAGCCATTGCCTTGTAATACACAAATATTTGGTCTGCCAGCTTGTAGACAAATTGGTCAAAACACAGGTTTACCTTGGAGGGAAAAAAAATTGCATTTAGAGGTACTTAAAGGCAAAAGAGAGAAGCTTATCCAAGATCTCCCACCGTTTAACAAACATAATTAATCAAGTTAACACATCTGTATTTCCCAGTACAAGAGAAGATGGTATTCAGTTTTCAGCATTAATGTGAGGTTTCTTTACAGCATTATCACCCAACCAGTTACCCATCCTCTGGTCTTTCTTCTCAGTTTATAATCTCCAATTGTTTTGAATCTCTTATAGTAGGTCTTGAACTTTAGCATCATTTTCACATTCAGATTATTCTTCTCCGGTAGATAAGGTTACTTTACCTCTGCCTCAATCTCATCATAGAGGAACTGCTTCTTAAATTTAGTAAGTGCATAATGAGCACTGTCATTATACAGGTCCAAAGAATACAGAACATACCTGAATGAAAAAGAATATAAAAAAAAACCAACCAGTTACAGGTCTATAGAGCTTATGATTCTTTAGGATGGTGCAGTTAAGATGATGTAAGCCAGTCAATATTGTAATCTACATATGGTACATACAAACAGGATTTATTTTGTTTTGTTCGAGTTTATATATAAAATATCACCGAGTTAGTTCAAGAAATTGTATAGATAAGTCTGCAGTCTGAAATTTGTTTTCTAGGCATAGCTTTCCATCTAAATGGAACTATATTTTTACTACTATGCGTTTTATATTCAACATCTTTGAGGAGTAAGTAAGGAGAACTCACTCAGGGAACAACATATATTTGGCTGGTACAATGATACTTCTACTGAAAGGTTTCATATTTCATTATTCACTTCAAAAAGAAAACTTTCAAAATGGGGAAACTGGCAAATGTAAAAGGAAAAATTTACAAAGATGTAGAATACCTTCTCAGTGACAGCTTCTTAAAACAAATTAAAGCAGTAACATTACAAAAAGGAGTGGCCATAATTAAGAGTAATAATTCAGTAGAAGAGCACAAGTATGTCTTACTCCATCATTGATGCCTCTTTGGTCTCCAAAATATGGTCCGTCAGAATCCAAGGCATGGACATCTCAATGGGAAACTGGATTCTTCTGCCCATGGTCAGCTCTAAGAAGAACTCCCTGAACCATAGCTGGGACAGATCACAGCACTGCTGCAGGGTTTCTTTCAGAATAAATAAAGAAGAATTATCCTTCTTATAGAACTACATCAGGAACAATACAACTGTGATTCTGATGATGCAATATGAAACAAAAAAAGCAGGTGTAAGTCACTAGAGCTAGTCACATAGGCCAAATATGTAAACCAAATTCAAACTATAAAGCCCATGACTTTTTCTAAGAATTTTTAACTCCATGTCAGCCCACAAGGTGGTGCCTTATTACAGAAAAAAGGGTGGAAGTGGACCACACTACCAGTTAATGAGAAAATCCGTCTGCACTAGTCAAGGGGATTTTCCAGTTTCTCAGTTTGGGGCTGAGAAAGCTGTACAATGAACTTGGGAAGCAACAGGCAAAGGAGACAAAATTGTACCGTGTTCACCAGTACCATCTCTCCCTCTGGAGGACTGAATCACTCCACATGTTCATGTTGATTAGATGGGCAGGAAACCACAAGACAAACACACGGAGGGATTAAAACAAAAAGATTCTAAAGCTGCTGTCAAGGGCATGGAGGTATGCATCCCACCACTCCAGAGAACACTTGGCACAAGCCTTCTTTTGCAGAAGGCTTGGGAATCAAAACAGGAATATTTTATTTTTATTTTTTTTACATGAAGATCTTCTTAAGACCTTTGGAAGTGCTGTTCCCCAGAAGCATTATGACTGCCATTAACAGGCTCCCCCTTCTAAAGGGTAAAGGAGTCCAGTAGCAAAACAAAAACAAAAGACAACACAGCATGGTGATGAAAAAGACTAGATACATTCAATGTCAGTAGGTGAATTCTTTAGGACAGTATGTTTCCGATTACAATTAACCGAATAGTAAGTGTAGTGAAATGACATCAAATTTACCACAACAGAGAATTTGTTTCCTCTGTACTTCAAACAAAAACAAACAAACAAACAAAAAAAAATCCCCAAAACCCCAAACACAAAACTACTTCCTTTTTAAAATTTCAATGTGCATAGGCTTATCTGTCCCTTGTTTATATAAATATATACATTAAAAAAATAGAAAAGGGAGGTTAAAATACGAAATTTGACGCATTATAAACAAATGTGCAACAAGTCAAAATAAAAATCCCACCACAAGACTGAATATCATGTCTGAGAAAAAAGTTTGGACAGAACAAGGCTTTTGATAAATAAACCCAAGGTAAGTTGACTTAGGCAATCGGAAACATTTCCCAGGTCGGTGTTAGAGGTGTTAGGACATGCTAAGCTGGACACTGATCATCTACATATCTTACCACTGAAATTTATCAAATGAGTGTAGAAGAAAGACTCGCGATGGAATTTTTCTATGTCCAATATGGTGGGCCCCTCAAGGCTACTTCTCAAGGTTTTCTTGGAACCACTTTTGTCAGCAATGAGGGACTCTAACATAGTTCTCACCATGTAAAGCTGTATCATTAAAGGAAACAATTGTGGTGGAAAGGGGGGAGGAAAAAGGAAAATACACATGGTACATTAGTTGAGCAACACTGAGAATTACTACCAGTAAGCGACTGCTCCACTTCAAATTGAAAACTGGCACTGTGTGGGTAAAAGGCTTTCAGGAGAGAGGAGCAGATGCAACGCTACCCTATGCACCAGCACAAATGCCTACCCATGCCAAGGGGACCTTCACTGACACTCAGCAGCAGACCATTTGCAGTGGAACAGTTCATATCACCACAAAAAGGAAAAGTAATAAGTAATGTCTTACCACCAAAGTTTAAAAGAGGCGGATAGATGTAGGACTGCCTCAGAAACTTGTGTGTCACATGCAATAGCTTTTCCAGTCCCAGAGACTTGAGCTGCTTCAACAGCTCAGCAGAGTTCAAGGACTCTGTCATAGTGCGAACCATGTAGAGCTAAAAACCAACAGACAGGGGCAGGCAGGGGAGAGAGAATCCGTTAATAAAAACACATGGGTAAATAAGGAAGGGGAAACAGAAGCAGAGAAAAACGTGTTAGTTTGTTAAAAATGAAAAACAGCACAGTGGGCATGCAGAGGAGGACATACAGAAAGGTTTTCTTGCTCAAAATGATCACAGCAATCCGGTGCTCCCTCAAGAAAAGGGAAAAGTTCCCATTCATTCCAGAGGATGCTCAGAGAGCCATTTGCCTCTCAAATTATTTTGCAAAGATTTCCAAGTATTACCAGTTCATCCATAGACATTTTAGAAAGAACCTCATGAAACTCAGAAAAACCTATCTAAAAATCAATATATTTGATCTCCCTTCCTCCTGTCAGCCAAGACAGACAAGCCCAAGAGCAGAAAAAGCAGACAGAACCATGTACTCTAAACAGCCTGTTGCAGCCAGTGAAACAAAGCCCTTAAACATACCAAGCACAGCAGAAGCACACTGGTGGTGATATTTTTTTTTTCCCCAGAAAATTAAAAATCAAACAATTTTTTTTCCAATTCTCAAAACAAAATCATCACTGAACATATATTACCACAATTTCAGCAATTATTTTTTTTTACCCAAGATTATTATCCATACATGCCCTCTTCCCACAGATTTTAGGTATTAAAAGATTGTCTTTACAAACCACAGTTGCCTTCAATTTTTCACCCAAAGTGCTCAGTACCTCATTTTCTCAGATGAGCTATGAATACCAGACCATACACTCTCCAAACAAATCCACAAAGAAAATAAAAGAAGAGAATTATATGGAGGTAACAAGAATAAGCATCTAGGTATGGAATTTCAATGACTACCACAGAAAACACACTTGAAATACCTTGTTTTACCAGCAGCAGCAGATTAAATAGATTTTGGGGAGCAGTTTTAACATTCATTACTGAACAGTAAGAGGGATCTTGTCAGAAGTCAAATACTCTCCCACATTTTACAGACAATCATTTATATTTCAAACATATTTTCAAACTACATAGGTATCTACTGAATAGTGGGATTTAATTTAAAAAAAATAGAAATTGACCAATCATGCCAGAGATGGAACTCAGGCAAGGAAATAATTCAAATAGTTAAAAAATGTTATGTAAAAAACATTAGGAGCTCAATGAGAAAATACTTCTTCCCATGATGTCAAATAAAGGATATTGAACACTTGGAAAAATTATGCATCAGACTAGAAAGTAAGAGCAACCCAGAGGATTTTGGTTAAGTATACATAATTTTGTAAATATAAATCTAATCAAAGTAGATTTTTAGCATTGAAAAAAAAACAAACAACAAAAACCACCAAACCCAACACACCAAAACCTTTCATGCAATAATTGTCGACAGATATCACAGTCACCAGTCAGGAAAATACCTGAGTGCTAGAGGGTCCCACTGCACGCCTTGGGACTTTGATGTCAAAACCACTTTTTGGGTCCTTCTCTCCCCTGAGAGCTGGGTCATTGAATGGCTCGTGACCAGCTTCCCAGTCACAGACTGTCTTTCTGATGGCCTGCAAAACACTGAACACAATCCACGATAACTTCAGACTGTTACACATCCATATGCACTGATGAGCAAGATTTTGTTCTATTAAGCAGTCTTCCACAAGCACAGAAACTTTGCAACAGCATTCAGGAGCCTGGGGTAACTCCGAGAAACCACAGATGATTTCACAAACAACCTCAAGAATGCCACATCCACAAAACTACTGCTCTGCAATGTTTATCAAAAACGGTAGTCCAGAGCCCTTCTCCTTGGCCAGAAGAAAGGTGACTTCTGAACCTGGTTCATCAGAGACAAAACTCACTTGTCAAGATCCACCTCTGGGATCTTCCACAACCACATCAAGCCATTTTGTTCTCCTCAACTGCAAAAAGCAGACTATTCAATCAAACCAAAGCAGATTATTAACCAAACTAAAGAGAGAGAATTCTCGCTTGAAATGAAAAGAAGCAGCAGAGTTCCTGGTTCCAGCAGAACTCCAGAATTCAGCTGGAATTAATACAAACAGCTTCATACTCTTAACTCCAGATAGTGAACTGGACTTCAGATACTTGCCAGGAACACAGCCAGCCATACCCTATGTCATACTGAATGATTAAAAAAATGGCTCCTCCCAGATCCAAGCAGGTTTGAAATAATAGTTTCCTTCTTCATGAAAAGTCTCTGGGACAAAAAAACTCCCTTGCAAGCTTGGTAATTTCGAGTAATTTGTTTATTTTTAGCTTATGATGGAACTTTTGTGGCAGTCAGAGCATTTGGCAATGGCCTAATAAGTCAAAGACTTTCACCTCTAAGAGCTTTGAAATGAAACATGGGATTAAACAAACGGTAAACAAAGATTAAAAGCAAACAATTAGGGACCAAAATAACAAGGTCAGGAAATGCCACCAGCTAATGTGGGCAGATGGAGCACTTGGAAGGTAAGTTTAAGGCTAATAAGCTAAAAGCAGCAGAAGCTGAGAAAGAAGGCAGGATACTAAAAGGGCAGAAATAAAGACTATGGGGTGGTATGTAAGCATGAAACACAAGGAGAGGAAACACTAGAATCATAAGGAAGGTGGACAGTAACACCTTTCTTCAAAAGAAAAATACTAGCCTTGCTTTCAGTATTGCAGTACCTGTTTTTTCTTGAAATAAAAATAAACTAGTGGGAACACAAGACTTTCTGTGGTAGTCCTAAGTGGCTCCAGACAACCTGTGCTCTTACCATAGCCAAGGTGGCAGCTATTCATTTTTTACTTCAGACTTCCTCAACTTCCAGTACATATTCAACCAAGCTAACTTTGAATACCAGATTAGTAAGGAAGTGCAGACTTAAAGAGGCAAAATTTAACAGGTCTGCAATTACGCAACAAATTTAGTAAGATTGGAGGAAAGAACATAGGAAGGAAGAGAAGATGAAAACAAGAACCCTACCTCTGAATGACATTTTTCTTCTTCTTAATAGCTTGTCTTAATGGCTCTCTAAGTGTGACCTGGGCAAAGTCCTGAAGAGCTGCATAAATGGTATGGCGAATGGCATGATTGAAAACACTTTCCATCCTTCCCATAAGCACCTGAAGACCTTTGATCATGGCAATCACCTGCAAAAAAAAAAAAAAGTGTATTTTTCTTATTTTGTTTGTATAACTGCTCAAAAAGCCCTTTTTAAAAAAATTGGAAAAGTGGGGTTAACAAGTTCCAAAAGATAAAGGATAGTTTTCTTGTGCTCCTCCTACATATTACATGTGGCTTTCAGAGTCAACAAAGGCCATGCTGTCTTTTTGCACTGGGTGTAGAAAATGCTTATAAAAAATGTTCTCCTTTGTACAGAATACTGGGAAAATCCCAATAAAAAATATTTATCTTACCTCAACCAAAGCAAACTTTTCCTCACTGGTATAATTGTATCTTGTTGCTCTTTCATATTCTTCTGCATTGTCAGGACAATCTTTATTAGAATATTTGTCAGTTGGGTGTACCAGCTTCCACGAATACTGCAGTTCACACAGAAGAATAGGGAGAAAAACAATGGGAGGGAGGCAAAGAGGACTGAGAAACAAAACATAGCTAAACACAAACAACATTCTTTAAGAAATACTCCAGTGTTTTCAAGAATGGCTGAAAAATGGTATTTGGTACTATTCTCAAAACCTGGATAAATGCAGAATCTACTATCTAGTGCAATGCCAAACAATAATTTGCCTAAAAAATTTTCTTGAAAGCCAGAGATCCCTCATTAGTTCAAAAAAGAAATTCACACTCAGTTGGTAATGCACTTCAGGGTATGTTTTTACTGAGCAAATGCTAGTTTAGGCAAAGTTTCTTCAAGCATGAGAAACATGGAGAGACCAGAGAGAATAACAAAAAAAAATCCATCACACTCACACACAAAAATTGGAGATTCCAGCTTGGCCAAATATTCTCATTTAGAATTCAAAGGACAACTGGAAAACTACACAGGTTTTTGTTTGGGTTTTTTTATGTTTGCTAGGCTTAAAGGTGTGGAAACAGCTCCATTATCTGTGACAATATCATCTGCACAGCATGCATTTCTCATAAATACTGCCTTTTTAGTCACTGCACACAGGTCAAAATGTTCCTGAGCAGTGTCAGGCTGGTCTAATATCCATCAGGGTACACTTAGTGAAAAATCCTAAGCATCTTCACATAGAATTTTCTCACAGTTTAAGTTCAGCAAATAGTAAGGATTGAAACATAGACAGTCTGGGTTGCAAGGGATCTTAAAGATCATCTAGTTCTAACCACCCTACCATGGGTAGAGACACCTCCCACTAGACCAGGTTGGTTATAACCCCATTCAACTTGGCCTTGGACACTTCCAGGTCTGGTAGATACCATCTTTGCACAGGTGTGAGATTACAGAGCAAGATCATTTTGCCTACTATAATGGATTAATATTTGCAGCAATTTACCTATGACAAAGACAAGCAATCACACCCTGCAACCTAAGTGCTACAAAGAGGTCACTGGGGAAATTAATAAACAAATAAAGTATTTTGGGGGCATTAAGTTGACAGGGTTAAGTTGGGCATCAAACATATAGTGAAACTTTTTATCTGAACATGCATGAGGCAAGGTTCATGGATACTGAGTGAAAGCAGAATACAGGTAAATAAGTAGGATACTCCAGATCAGAATAAATTCACAGCAGGACAGGGAGATGCTGAATATAAACTTACATGAGAAATACTTAAGGGAATCTATACAAATCAGAAAGACAAAAGCAGTGATAACAGGCAAAAAAAAACAAAACACTTGCTGTGGTCCTCAGAGAAGGTTTGTTCTGGAATTGGGATGACAAAAACAGAGCTAAGAATGAGAAACTTTCTACAGAGATATAATAAAATACGAAGATTGTCACTGGGAAGAGAGAACCTGAATCCAGCAGTTTGCAATGACAGAAATAAAGTCTGGGAGTTGCAGAGCCCAGAAATAGATGACAGCAACCTTGTTTAAGAGAAAGAAAAGGAGAACAACTTTTTCATAATAAAACACAAACAGAAATAGGATAATACAGGAAAAAGCATGAGTCACCTACTGGCTTTTAAAAGAGTCAGTTAAAAACAAAGAAAAGAAAGCAAACTGGGTCTCTAGGTATGCCCACTGTGACTACACTGCATTCATGCAGTACAAATGGCTTGATGTTCCCTCAGACTTCAGAGGCAGAGGAAGAGCAAGTCTGGCTTCTCTCCTACAATACGTCAACTCTTTCAACCCATCTTAAAACATGTGTTGATGCAGGTAAAACATGCAGCATTTATCTCAGTGTCTGCAGCATAAAAATGACTTCTGCATCCTCTCATTCAATTTCTGTCCTATGCAGTTTGTTACTGAAAAAAAGTCACTCTTCTAACTTGCCTCTGTTTTTTAAATAAATTATTAAAATACGAAGACACAACTCTGCATGTTCTACATCTCACCTCCCTCATTTCCTCTCCAATTTTCCTTTCCTCACATTTACTTCCTTTTGACTAAAAGCCTAATCTAAAGCCAGAGGGAGCCTTTCCATCCATTTTTGTGTCTTTGGTTAAGACCTTACAGGCGTCAATTTACTGAGTAATCATGGCTAAACAGACCAACAGTGGAAGCTGTTCTATGACCTTCTGTGTCACTGCATGTTGGTACAGATATTTCTAACAGAATTTAGTTTCAAACAACTTTTAGAGGAAAATAATTAAGTCTTAGTCTATGAAATGTCCATATCAAGAGCAATGTAAAAACACCTGGTCGAGGCTCAGAGGGGATCACCTATCCATGAAATATAGTTAAGTTGAATGTAGTGTACAAGATTGTACAAGCCACTCAATCTGCAAAGCAGCAAGATTATTACTAGTCTTTGAGAACTTCAAGTGGCTTCTTCTGAGAATGTGGTGAGAAGCAGGAGAAGAAAAAGAGTGAAGGAAAAAGGGAATTAAGGGAACAAAACACAACACGCACTTTTCATTCTGTTAAAGCAAAGCCTGTCCAACCTCACCAACCCACCTCTTTTTCACCTGGTTTTATTCCCCAGATAACATACCACTTCCATGACATGTGCACTCCACTGGGAGAGAAGCTGCAGGCCTTGGAGAGAGAGATCAAAGAGCTTCCGATACTCTGCGTCTGTTTTCTGAGCTTCCTGTCGACCAGACCCAGTCACCACCTAGAACATTATTAAACAACAACAAAAAAACCAAACCCACATCAGACCATGCTGTATCCAGCATCCATAGCCACATTTCTACACAGATTTCTTTTAAACATTAAACAGCATCATGTATTAACATCTGCATTAATATCAACTTTTTCTTCTAGAGACTTTACATAGTTAAACTTGACAAATTTTGGTCAAGTGACAGGAATCACTGGTATTTCTAATCACCAGAATATTGTTGCAGATGAATTTAAGACACTAATTATATATAGAACCTATAACATATGTATATGTATACGTATATGTATACATTTGCATTTCTTTCTTCTTGGCTGGTCTCTTAACTTTTAGTTTCATTTAAACTGCTATGAGCACCCATTTGGAGTAAGGGTCTTTCAGCTTTTGTCTTCCAAAAGAGACAAGCTAAAAGTTCTAGAATATATATCCTAGATAGATACAGATATAGATATAGATAAGCAGAAGAATACCACAGTTTGTATGATGTATCATCATTATTTTTAATTCAAATAATAAACAGCATGCAGAGACAGAAAACTAGGCTCTGCAGCCAGCTTCTTATGATTCAGGTGATCAAGCTTTGCCATGTACCCAGACTGAGGTTTACCTGCTCTCTTTAGATATTCAACAAAAACTTGTTCAGCAATATGAAACTTGCATGAATAGCTCTAATCACACACACCTCACTGTTGCTGTAACGAGCCAGTTCTGATATGAAACGCATATGGTCTTCTCTGATTTGGATCATCTGCTCACATATATTGTACTGGGGACTGCTGCTGGAAGATGTGCACGTCCACCTGTTTCAGATGACAAAAGAACCCCAGCAAAATCAGCTTAGGCAATAAACGGTACAACTGATACTGCAAAGAAAGAGCCACAATGCATGATTTCTAAAAAAAAAATCGTCTTCTCCTCCCTTTGAGTCCTTTCCTCTCCTCACACCTCTACCTCTGACGCTGCACAATCCATTAGTGATGGGTTGCCCTTCTGAGTTCAAACAGCACTTCTTCCAAGTCATAAAAAAATACTCTGGCATTTCTCTTCAAGAGCATTCACTTAAGGACAGGACTAAAAAGTACTGAAAGGCAAGGCAGAAGTACAGGGTGTAAGATACATCTAGCTACCTTCAGAGAGGTTTTTGTTGTTCTTGTTTAACTACGAAGAGCCTACAGTATGCTGACAACTATTAAAAAAAGGCATTATTAAATATTATCAGCATGTTATCAAGAAGGACACAAAAAACATGCTACCAAGAATGTCATGTTAAGTAGCCTCATATTTTTAGTAGCTCAGTAGGCCCAGTGTTGTTCATTTTCTCTTAGCAATTACATGCAGGTTACGTGCTTTTTCTGCAGGAATTAAAATGCAAAGCACTACATTCTAGATTCATGTAACTGCATGGAGGGAAGGTCTTGGAGGAGCATGGAAACGTTCACTAAAAGAAAGCAATAACCATAAAACATGGAATCAGTTATATAAAAACTAGCTGCATTTTCCAGACATTTTGCTGTGCTGCACACCTAGCCAAAAAAAAACCAAAAAAAAGCTGGGAGACAAGCTAAGTTGCTGCTCCATATACAATATACACATGCCTATTTACCCATGCACTACTACTGCTCACCTTGCTTAGCAAAATCCTTCATTTCTTTTAAAGAATGTTTCATATTTAAAGGAAAAAATGAAAATTAGTGTAAGATAAAATTCATTTCCTCCAACCCAGGCCATAAGAAATGTCAGATGCAAGAATGAGCTCAGTAGCATAGAAAGTTCTTTAAACAACCTGCTTCTTTAGTTGTATTTATTACTTGAAGTACATTCATAGTAAAATACCCACACCAAAAGCAGACCAAGGCAAAATCCCATTAAATACCACAGACTAACGGGTGATTATGAAAGTAGCCTCTCAGGGTCTGACTTTTTTCCCAGCCCAGATGTTTCCCTCTATGCATCTTTCTCCCTCTTACCTGGATTTATTTTCCTCGTAATGGGCACTGGTCTTAATGTATCTTGCAAGTTCAATCTGCATGTCACCAAAGAGTGGGACAACCTGCAACTGCTGTACACAGGGAGTAAATCAGATAAATTATTAAACAAAATCTTAGTGAAAGGAAATAATAATTTATCCAAATGAAAGTCCAACATGATCCTTATTCTATTTAATTACATTTAAAACACAAAGGGAATTACCTTAAAAATCAAGTATTAAGAAACACTTCTCTAAACCAACCTTAAAGTACTTGTCTATCTTGGCTAAGTTTATCCTTTTCTTTGCATCCAGCTTGTAGATGTTACTGACACTTCCATCCATCAGGTACAATCCAAAGCCCATAACCTGAAAAAGAAAAAAAACAAACCTCACTGCAAAAGGATCCCAGAGGTAAAAACCTGCAGCAGTAAGACCATTCTTCATATCATTAAAAACAAGTAATGCTTTAAAAACAGAGTCCTAAAACAGCCACACTCCTTCAAACAAAATATATTTCAAACACATGCATTCTGTAGTATCTTTTTATTATATGTATAAGCAGTATTTTTCACATTAAAATCAGCCTGATCAGTTATCTTTAAAAGATGCTACTTGCTTGTATAAAGGATTATCACATAAAAAAATCTCACTGAAAGTAGAGTTTGGGTGATTTTAGACAGGGGTTTTTTCCACTTCCATTTTATTAAAATTTTGTATATGCAAACTTATCTGTAACAGTTTAGATCTAACACCTCTGAGCTATTGCTTTTTATGGCTTTCAGCACATCTCTAAATTATACATTTAACAGTTCAGAAGCACCCAAAAATATCTAATTATATTTTGTCAAAGTTATTAATTAACATAAAGTTATAATTCATAGAATCATAGAACGATTCAGGTTGCAAAAGACCTTTGGGATCACTGAGTCCAACCATCATCCCTACTCTATAAAGTTCTCCCCTAACCAGATCCACCAACACCACATCCAAACGACCCTTAAACACATCCAGGGATGGTGATTCCACCAGCTCCTTGGGCAGCCTATTCCAGTGTCTAACCACTCTTTCTGTGAAAATTGTTTTCCTAATGTCCAGTCTAAACCACCCCTGGTGCAGCTTGAAGCCTTTCCCTCTTGTGCTGTCACTAATTACCTGTGAGAAGAGACCAGCACCAACCTCTCTACAATGACCTTTCAGGTAGTTGTAGAGACTGATGAGGTCTCTCCTCAGCCTCTTCTTCCCCAAACTAAACATTCCCAGCTCCTTCAAGTGTTCTTCATAAGATTTATTCTCTAGGCCCTTCACCAGCTTCACTACCCTCCTCTGCACTTGCTCCAGCACCTCGAGATCTCTCTTGAATTGAGGTGCCCAGAACTGGACACAACACTCCAGGTGTGGCCTCACCAGTGCTGAGCACACGGGGACATCACCCCTCTACTGATGCTGGTCACACTGTTTCTAATCCAGGCCAGGGTGCCATTGGCTCTCTTGGCCACCTGGGCACACTGCTGGCTCATATTCAGCTGCTTGTCAGTTAGAACCCCCAGGTCCTTTTCTGCCAGACACTTTCTGGCCACACCTCCCCAGCCTGGAACGTTGCCTGGGGTTGTTGTGGCCCAAGCGCAGGACCTGGCACTTGGCCTTGTTGAAGCTCAGATCATTATCCCATTGGTATAGATGCACTTCAGATGAGCTAATGATTCCAACACCTTTTTTCCACTGTGGGCCCCATTTCCTACCAGACTCTTCTCAGGTGCTTCCATGATTTCTAAACATCTATCCTTTCTCTCAAATGAAACAACAGAGTGATAAACCTCCCTAGTCCACCATCCTTCAAGCCCTGGCACATTTCTCTTGGGCTTGTCCCTAACAGGCCCAGTTATCTCTCCTTCCCCTTCATATCTGGTTTAAAGCCCTGTCAATGAGACCTGCTGCCTCCTGCCCCAAAAGCCTTTTGCCCCTCTGGGACAGGTGCATTCCACCTGCCACCAGCAGGCCACAGTATTGGCAAAAGCAAGAACTGAGCATCAACAACTGAATGTGTTCTAAGCATGCAATTACCAAAAGGCCTAAATATGAAATACGAAAAATATGACATATGAAAGATATTTTGCACATCCCTGCAGACAGAACGTGAATGTTCACATATTGTTCCAGGATGTTTCACTTTGGTCCTAATAAACAAAGACCTTCAGAAGTGAAACACTGAAGGGGCTCAAAATATTTGTCATGAGGCAGCTTTTCAATTCTCTCTACTTTTTTTTCCACTACAAGACTTGCAGCTGATAATATCAGCCACACATCATGTTGCTCAGCACTCTCTCATCAAATGTACATATGCCAGTCATCTAGATATAGCTACTTAATAACCCTAATTTTAAGCTGCCTCTATCCTGAAATCTTTGATACACCAAAACCACTTTGATACCTCCTTGCCATATAGCTAAAAATAAAACACAGTAGTTTCTTTCTGTTGTCAAGGTACTTCATAGAAACACATTTCCATGAAATTCATTTCCTAAAAAGGCTGCAAGTTCAAGTGAGTCAACTTCACTTTATGAAAAACAAAAACAATTAGAAACTTCCTAAATAGATAATAATAAAATAAAAAGAGAGTGGAGAGGGGAAAAAAGAAAAAGTGGTAATCTGAGTTACTTGGTTAATTTGGTTCTATTTAAAAAAAAACAACACAACTAAAACCCCAAAAAAAACAACAGCAACAAAACAAAACTAACCCAAGCAAACAGGAATCCAAACACTTTGTGTCCTGCCTCAACCATTCTTTTTTACTTTTGTACCAAAAAGAAACCTACTTTCAAAAGCATATGCTTCTCACTGGGTGTTAGATACATTTTGTTTTCATAGTAGTCCACACATAAATTCACAATATCTGCAAGCAGCTCTTCATAGCCAACAATCACCTCCAACTGCTGCTGTAAAGACTAAAAAAAAACAGAAGAAAAGGTTATGAGTCAATTACTTATACTTCCTGGGAATCAACAGTTACTACCAAACTGGAAGAGTTTTAAGAGTTTTGTAAAGCATTAAGTTCTTTGCAAGAAGAAAATTAAAGCTTACTTGTGTGATCTTGTTGTGGTTGGCAAGGAACATGGAGAGGTTCTGAGATTCTTGGATGGACTGAGGATCTGCCATTTTGCGCAGGAACTGAGCAGCTCTTTGAAAAAGAGAAGAAAAAACAGCATTTCCCTTCAGCAG